TTCGGTGTCTCCCCTCGACGAGGTAATTGAAAACGGAAAAAAACGACAAACATTATAGATTTACAGATTTATTTTTCCTTTTATGGAGGGCGTGTGTTGCAGAGCCTGTGACTGCTCATGAAGTGATTGTTGTATGTCGTGGCCAGACGTGTAGGTGAGGGTCGTCCACCTTCGATGGGTCGTTCAAGGACGTCGAGTGTTTGTGTGTTTGTGCGTGCATGCACTGATGTGTAGAAGTGGATTTTACGTTTCGTACGAGTAGCAGTTTCGTACGAGTGCTGGGGAAACTTTTGAGAGTCGCTAGACTAGCAGCATCCCCCTTACAGACGTGTGCATTAAACTTATTAAAGATACGAATCTCGTGTCCCGCATCATGTCGACGTCACAAAAGATATCGCAAGAACTTCGGAAGACTTTGTCAGTTTGCCGGCGAGTCTTGGGGTTGCTTGGGGGAACGTGTATATATAAAGTACGCGAGACATGTGCAATCTCTCGTGCAGAAGTTGCCTCCACTTCGCCCCCGCGACGGAATCCTTGAGTCTCTGAAATGTGTTATTGTAGTTTCCGCGGTTCTGGCGGCGGAGGCGAAATTTCCCCAGCGAACCCGTTTTCTGTCGACCTTACTGACCTTTACGGGCCTGAGCGACGGTAAGGAAACTCGGGGATTGGATGAATAATGTAATGAATTCCGTAAAGGACGTCTGCAGGGATACTGAGGCAGGCGAGTTTTGCGTCTCAAGTTGCTTTCAAATTTCCCTTCATCTTTTTCCCGTCTCTTAGATTATTTCAGGGAATGGTACGCTGGCGCTGCAACAGCTGAACGTTCGGGGAATCTGCTCGAGTGACTAGGAGGGCTGTGTGTTCTCAGGCAATGCATACATTACACACCACGTTAAAACCTGTCTTGCATGATTGAATATACATATATATATATGTGTGTGTGTGTGTGTGTGTGTGTGTGTGTGTGTGTGTGTGTGTGTGTGTGTGTGTGTGTGTGTGTGTGTGTGTGTGTGATATATATCTCGTTTCTTATTATGGGGTATTTCTTTCTGCCTGCTGCCCAAATTCTCGGTATGATTAGTAGTACAGGCGTGGTGCAGAGACGCGAGCGAGGCGTTGGGAGGCGTGGATGGAGCACCGCGCCAGCCGGATGCAGCGAGGGCGAGGACATGGATCTTGCCGAAGTTACGGCCGACGGGTTTTTACTCCGCGGCTGTAGATTCACGGAGATGGAGGAGGAAGTTTAAGGCTTTCCCTGCGCGCCATTAGAGGCCACGCTGCCGTTCGGCCGGAAAGAGACAAGTGAAGGCGATATTTCTCGATTATTTTGGGGGAAAACCGACGTTAACTTTAGCTCTTCGGCGCTCGTGACGGATGTTCCACTTGATATCCGGCCGCCTTTGTGTCGGCAACCGGACATCTGTCGCCGGAATAGCAATATAACGAGAAAATGGATATGGAGTCATCAGACGCCTGTGCGAACGTGATGGCCTCACCATGCTCAAGCCGCAGCGTTTTTGTGGACGGGGCTGCAGGTCGTGACGTTGCGCTGACGTCATTATCTGGTGCTGACGTCATGGCTGGTGCATCTTGGGTTCCCCGCTTGTTCTCTCATCAGAGGGTCAGGCGGGATTTGTGAAAGCATGGGTTATCGCGCTTCACAGTCATGCACTGACGTCATGGAGCATATCCAAAATGCAGATGAGGATGTCGACATCTCTTCCTACCGGATTGTTCTTCTACGATGTTACCTTGCAGAACAATATCTCTGACGTCACAATTCCAGCAGGCGTGGCAAAGGATGCTCCTGTTGTTCGTCACCTCCGGTTTCGTATCATCGTGTGCACAGTTCTAAGTGAGGTACTGTGACAAGGAGCCGCCGGATGTGTCCGAAACCGCGGATGCCCGGCTTCGTGGAAGATAATTAACATGAGAACTATGCCCACGAATTAGTTGAAGTTTGCTCATTTACGTGACGGATAGGGCAATAGTGCCAAGACCTTGAAGTTCATTATTATTATTACGATGATTATGATGTAAATGATCTGCTTGCAGAGAGGGAGAGAGAGAGAGAGAGAGAGAGAGAGAGAGAGAGAGAGAGAGAGAGAGAGAGAGAGAGAGAGAGAGAGAGAGAGAGAGAGAGAGAGAGACGTAGCTCTCCTTCACACACAATAGCCCCCAGGAGTCTCTGGCAAGAAGTCACCCCTTGATTATATCAGCACTTACGCAAAACCGTCTTAATGCAAGAAAAAGATCCTTTAGAAATTCGTGTTGCCATCCGAATAAGTAAATGGGGTTTCTTGGCAGTGAAAAAAAATCGAAGAAGTGAAAAACGAATAAGATGAATACGTTGCCTGCCCCTTCCCCCCCTCCCACTCCGCCCCTACCCTCTCCTGCCCATTAGCCTGCTGAGGGCGGAGGAGGAGTCTGGATGACCTCCCACTAGGACTCGTCTGCCTTGCCTCGGGCGTCAACAGCCTGGCGCCGGGCTCCTTCTCCGGGCTGGCGCGGGGGAAGGGAAGGGAAGGGAAGGGAAGCAGTGCCTGCATGCCCACCACTCGTCAAGGCTGTCTCGTTCGTTTACTTGCGTTTGCAGTTGTTTTTGCCTTCCCTGCTCATAACTCCCGATCCCTCTTTCCCCCCATGTCGAAATTGCAAATCGTTCTCATAAGAAAGAGAAAATAATGGCGATGGAACGTACTTGTGAGCATGTTCTTGGAAGATGTCGTTATGGTTTGAGTGTCCGGGGAAGGGGGGTGGGGGCTCGTCACCTTCAGGAGAGGCCGCGCCATTGTGCGTTATGAAGGCTATTGTAACAGTGAAACCATTGTGGCAAGTTAACCTCTCGCGCTTGAGTTTATTGCATATGGGCATTGTCTCCGCGCGTTTGCTTGTCTTCTTGCTAGTCTGAGTCACTCTTTTATATAAGCTTATTGCTGTTCTTTTTTTTCTATGTTTACAATTGATTCGGAAGGATCGAGCAGAGACTCGTAAAGGTTCGTCAGCGTGCTTTGAAAAGGACTTAGAGCGAAGAGGCTACTAATCTAGGAGAAAGGAAGGATACCACTCCGATAAGCGAAAAGACGTCGCTGAGCCCAAATTATCCACGTTAATCACGGCAGACAGTCACGGCAAAAACAAGCCAGAGTGCCAGCCAGACGGGCCATGGTGCCAGCACAGCACGGCTCTTTGGCCCCGCACAAAACAAACAGATAACTGTATTCCACCCGTGACGTCAACATCCAGACATTGGGTAGCCGTGACAGCTTCAACAAAAAAGGGAGAGGTTACAGAATGGCTCTTGCAACGTTGCAAAGGGTTGGGAGGCGAGGCAAAAGAAGTGAGCAGTTGATTACAAAACTTAACAGCAATAAAAAAGCATGACAGAGTTTATGTGTTGCAAATTCAGGTTACTTATGCGGCTATTTCACCTATTCATAATTTTGCATCGATCATGTTTTAACCCTCAGCTTATACACTTAATTCACATCAAATGCGAGCAACTTTGCAACAGGATCCCCCTTCCCCTGACACAAGTAGGTCATCCCGCATGCTAGTTAATAACCCCCACATACGATAACAAGGACTAGCCGAAGTTAACCAGCGCCGAGTTCAAAGTGACTCTGAAGGTTAACAGCACGGTGATGACAAGCAGCTAGCGAGACGTGCTGGTGGCGGTGCTGGCGCTGATGGTCGCAGCATCGGCTCCAGAATGTTTCTTTTTCCTTCTTCCACTTTCCCTTCTCGTTTCATCATCATCATCTTTCCTTCACCTCATCATCTTCATTTCGTTCTCGTCCCCCATCCGTTTTTTTTTTAACAATACTTTTAAACCGTGTCCTCTTTCCCGATAGCGACCGCCGTCTAGGCAACAAAAAATCAACTTCAGTATGGAAATCGAAGCAGGGTGATTATAAGGCACCTCTTTAAGCACGTCTCGGCAGGGTCACGACGGAGCTGACGGGCCCCATATGTCAGCCTCGCGGAAAGGTCTGCTTATTACACATGATGAGTGAGCACTGTCGGAACTCTTCTGAGCACTGGTTCTCGCTTGAGGTACTCTTGATGCCTCTGCTTAAGTGCTTCGTGGTCGAAGTGCTGATCGTTGAGGCGATTGTGTGCTCTCTCTCTCTCTCTCTCTCTCTCTCTCTCTCTCTCTCTCTCTCTCTCTCTCTCTCTCTCTCTCTCTCTCTCTCTCTCTCTCTCTCTCTCTCTCTCTCTCTCTTTGCCTCCTTCCCTCCTTCTCTCCTTCTCTTCCTTCCCTCCCTCCCTCCTCCCTCCCTGCTCCGAGTCTGTGGCCTTGTTTTGGACTGACTCGAGGTTGAGAAAATGCCTCAGATTAGGGTCACGGGAGTTGTGACGGCGTTGCATTATAGTCGTATAAACACACCAGGCGACCCGGTGCGTGCCCAGGAGGGAAGACAGGGGGGAAGGTGTTGGGTAATTCTCTCTCTCTCTCTCTCTCTTTCTCTTTCTCTTTCTCTTTCTCTACCTTATTTCCCCTTGCCTACTTCATCTCTCTTTTCTTTCCACACACTTTTTCTCTTACTGGCAAAAAAAAAACGTGTCGTCCTCCGTACAAAAAAATACCAAGAAAAAACGCGGTCGTTGAATACATGCGGGTGACTCTGAGCAGTTTGCCTTGGGTGTGAGACTTTTCCCACATGGCTGTCCGGGCGGGCGGTGGGCGGGTGGGCGGCGGCAGCAAGCAAGGGCGTCTCGTCGGGAAGTTCTCACTCACGCACGCACCCTCCCTTCGAGACCTTCGCTACGCTGCTGCTATTGTTGTTTCGGAAAAAATAGATGTATGGGAGGGTTGAATTATTTTTGAAGGTGTGATTTCTCTGTGATTGCAGTGTTGTTGCATATTGCATTCTCATAAATTTGGTGAAACGGAAGCAGGAGATATACAGATTAAGGGCGAGTATGGTATTTAGATTAAAATTCGCGCTTGCATTTCCTTCCCGGCGAAACTAACGTGTTTTTTTCCTTCTTTGCAGATACGCTTAGCTTGGGTGGCAGCTGGAAGGAGCCCTCCACGCCGTTATCCTCCTCCGTGACCTCCTCCAGTAGCAGTAGCGGCGTGCACACCTCCTCCCTCCTGCCAGGGGCCGCCCACCACTACCTCCCGCAGCCCTTGTGGAACTTGGCCTATTAAGGTCGCTACGCTTACCATGCAGCGGGGCCGAGACCTGGGGCGCCTCGCCATGGGGCTGGCCGCACCTCCTGCTGGGGACGCCCGCGCGACGGGGGGGAAGCTCGGGGAACAAACGTAGTCGTTTTATCCGATTTTCTAGTGTTTAGTCAGTGTCTTCTCGTCTTCGAGGTTCGCGGCGACGGAAGACGTGATTCTTGTTGAAGGTGTAGTCCCCAGCAGCCTCCATGACCACGATGCATGTGTGTATCTCTTGCTCTCCGCGACCCCGCGAGCTGACCCCCAGTCGCGAGCGCCCCAGGGCCGCGGCCCCGACGTGCACTCTCAGAACCAACACTGTGCTGTGATATGCCGTGCTGGCCTCCGGAGCCTCGTCGCCATCGTCAGTCCTCCTCCTCGTCGTCGTCATCTTCATCATCAGTGTCGTCGCAGTTCACATTAGCTTAGTAGCGAGAAATAATAAAACAAAAACAAAAAACGACAAGAGCAGCAGCGCCATCGGGGGGCAGGGTCGTGTACGCGCGTCGTCTCGAAGTCACCCGTCGCCGTGTCGTCTTGTCGTCGCCGTAGCGAGTCGTCATACATCGTAGTTGAGCCAGAATCATCGAGTGCCGACTCGAGTCATCTTCGAGAATCATAGTAGTCGGCGCTTAGTCATCAGCGCATCAGCGAGCTTTTCGTCATCCGCTAATTATCTCATGGTGTACTTTTAAGTGTGGAAACTTATGGGTGTGCTACGTACAGGAATTATAATATTAATGGTAATAATAACACAGGGGTTAGTTGAGCCAGTGAGCGTTGTCTATATCCACTTTGTTAGTTTGTAGGTATCTATTCCAGTCACTCCATCCTATGGCAATATTTCACTGTTATTTACGCCAGCCCCTTTGGAACGGACTCTGAAATAGCACTGTGGAATTTGTATCTGCCATTGAAGTGGTCTTGATCCTCCCGCAACTGGCACAATGCCGACCTTTATCGACGCAAACGGACCAGAACCTTTTCCTCAAGAGCTCTTTTAGAATCCGTGCCTTAAGTCTTGCACAAACGATGCTGTAAACATCGGTGTACTAAGCTTGTCGGCATTAATTAGTGTTTTGTAAAGCTGAGTAGGATTTTTAATGATAAGGTAGACGGAAGTGAAAGTGAGAGACATTGTTAGGGTAGAATTTTAGGTGTTAATTTAGCTCTTTGGAAAAATAATAAAAATACGCTTATTAGAGTCCATGAATCATAACTTTTTTTGGTCAATAACTCATCTGTCATTCATTTTAGTTTACATTTAGGTTGTATGTTTAGTCTTAACCCTTAAGTTATACTAATTTTTGTTATCTTATTTATAGTCCTTCTGAAAGTCTGTCAATAATTTGCTCCACAAAGTTTACATGCGTTTCTTAGGTTCATTTGTCATGAATGTGAATTTTCTAGTACAATCCAGTTGTGTCTTCTCTTATTTACTTTCATTTCGAAGTTCGCGAATATGAATAAAACGCATTTACGAAGATTCATCATTATCACTTTAAATGTATCGAAACATTGTATCAATGTCTTTATTGCATGGCTACCTGAGTCAATTATCTTAAAGAATAATATCTTGTTCGTGGCATTATAGCTGTACGTGAGGATTGAGTCGTTTATAAGGCACCACGACGGGAGGTTCCTCGTCAACAGGGAGGGTCCAGCTGGTTGGGACACCTGAAGGCAATCTGTGACCGTCCTGCACCATCTGCGTGTAGACGTCATTGATCGCGTCAGGTGGACTCGCCTCTTAGACGTTGAAACATGGCTAACTGTGCCATGGCAGTTAGTAAGAGTCTTAGGACCAGGTCTATATTGCTTGATGTATCTATGCATAGCGTCAACGGTAAAGCCTGGGCTCAACATTGGTAATGGCCTGTGGTGTTAGACCCCCAGAAGCAGAAAGAGTATTATCCTGTTCACTTCACTTTCATCATGTCATTTAAGTAAAAGGGTGATAATTGAGATTTTTCACTGATAGCATAAAGCATTTCTGCATTTATAGATCACTTGTTCCCTTTTATTCTTGAAAGCTTCTGGTGTGCAGCGTAGCCGGTCTATTGTCCATGTTGAATAGATGCTAATATTGTTTCACGTACGAAGCACGATGGAAATTTGATCTCCACTTTTTATCTGTAGTGTAAAGTCTACGACGTTATGGACATACGAGCGACTCTGAGCCTTATGTATATTCGCTTTTAGGTGCACAATTACATGACAGGGATAATTACTTTTTTATTTATTTGACTTTACTGTGTTTATTTTGATGTCGTGATGAAGTATTCAGGTGTGTCAACGACTGGGGCATGAGTTCCACGGTTGCACAATATGTGTTGTCTTCATGTTAAGCCTCTTTATGTCCCATGGGTGCATAGGGCACTAATCTCTCTCTATATATAACCTTAGACTCCGAGTCGCTTGTTATGGCATCTTAGTCGATTCTTGTGTTGCACTTGGTGTTCGAACGTGTCAACTTTGCGTGCAATAAGTCTTTCAAAATGTAATGGTTGCAAGGCAGCTTATGTTGATTAGGCTTCAGACTCAGACCTATTTTTGTGATGCTAACTTTAGCTTTGATGTACATATGTAAAGAAAAAAGATGTACATAAAGGAGCCTAGTTTGTTTGGAAACAAATTGTATCTGTGATTCGTTTCGGTGCGTTGGAAACAGTGCATCTCAGCTTGTAAATATTCATATTTGTATATTTAATGTGTACAGGAAGTAATTTTGCACTTGTGCTTGAATTTTAACGTGTAAAACTTGTGATATGTGAAAATAAAACAAAAGCCATTTAATATCATCTTTCTCTTGTCATCAACTTGGAAATAGAAAACAAGATGGTGGGAATGCGATTAAAAAAAATATATATATAAATGCTGTGCCACTAAAGGAAAACATACCAAATAAAGCATACGTTTTTTTTTATGACAACACGCCATAAACCAGTAATGCACTTTCTGGATTTTATGGATCCAGAATGTAGATATTAGTATTTAGTATTCTGGTCATGGATATCATAGACAAACAAACAGTGAACACATTTGGCATTGCAATAGAAAATAAAATAATGATATTCACACTTCAATAGAGAAACGAATTATTTTGTTGATTCGTGAAATTTGTTCAGAATCAGATGCTTTATATCAACATTTTAGAGTGAGAAACTCTAGTCTAGAGAAAAAAATGAAGTAAAATTTTGTTTAGGAAATAAGTAGTGATGATATACAGCAGATAATAATGATAGTAGTGATGATGATAATAATACAGGAGTGATGGTGATAATTATAACACAATATTGAGGATAATAGAAATAAAAATAATTATGAGAATAAAAACAATGATGAAAAGTAATAAAGACACTCTAATTATGATAAGTACCTGTTGAATGGACTTAAAAAATAAGTCATCATATAGACCATTAAATGAATGAAATAATGGTTACTTCCCTTTATCTGTTAAATAGGACAGTTGCTATAAACACTACATATTGTAAACACGAACAAGAACAATCTCTCTCTCTCTCTCTGTCTGTCTCTCTCTCTCTCTCTCTCTCTCTCTCTCTCTCTCTCTCTCTCTCTCTCTCTCTCTCTCTCTCTCTCTCTCTCTCTCTCTCTCTTTCTCTCTCTCTCTTTCTGTTTCCTTCTCTCTCTCTCTCTCCATCCCTCTCCCTCTCTCTCTCTCTCTCTATCTCTCTCTCTCTCTCTCTCTCTCTCTCTCTCTCTCTCTCTCTCTCTCTCTCTCTCTCTCTCTCTCTCTTTCTGTATCCTTCTCTCTCTCTCTCTCCAACTCTCTCTCTCTCTCTCTCTCTCTCTCTCTCTCTCTCTCTCTCTCTCTCTCTCTCTCTCTCTCTCTCTCTCTCTCTCTCTCTCTCTAAGAAAAGAACGCATAGAAAAACAAAACTCGTTATGTCATTAGAACAGATACTTTTTATCACAACCTCTTTTACGATAAATAACATACTGACCCATGATAACCTTATCTGTTTCCTGATAAGAGAATTATCAGTGACTGTCCATAAACCCTAAATAAAGAATGTGTGCCAACATGCAACGATAACAATTCACGCGACTTGATAATGTTTACATAGCAACTTGTAAGATGATGGGTTGTACATTTTTTTTGTAAATAATTCAGAATAATTTTGAATCATTCAGTAAATTTTATTAGATTAGTACAACGACATTCCTGCGTAAAAAAAAAATAATAATAATTCACTACCGTCGTTTCATAGAATTGATAGAGTGAAGAATAGTTTACCTTTCAAGTTCGTGTTTACAAAGCCCACCTCCCCCCCTCCCCCCCAAAAAAAAATCAGAATGAATAAAATAGAATGAAAAGTTCTGACACAGCATATCCGAATGTGGAGATTGGTTGCCATGTCACTCCATCACTCCATCACGCCTTGTATCTCTCACTATGGCAGGTTGTCGAATCTAAATGAAAAGGGAATCTACACATGAACAGAAAACGCACACCTGTTCCCTTCACGTACATATACGCACACGGTTTGCGGTCCCACAAGGAAATGAAACTCTACCTGCAAGACTGAAATAGATTTTTCCTTTGTTTAACTGAAGTAAAACACTATACAATGACGATTTTAATTAGAACTCAGAGCGTGGGAGAAAGAGTGTGAGTGTCACGCTATGGAAGACGAGAGTAAGTGTGGGTTATAGGTAACGACTCCCTTATATGGAAGGGTGGTGGTGGTACCTTGGTTGTGTGTGTGTGGGGGGGGGGGGTCGTGTGGGTTCAAGCTAAGGAAAGAACGAAAATCGTGTTGGGGAGGATGCACGAAACACGTGATACTGAAAAAAAAAAATGGATACGTGTAAATTACAGGAACACACTTTTGACATTTGTTAGTCGTCGGTACTTTGGGAAACCCTCCTCCCTTTGATTAAGGACCTATAACCGTACGGCTTTGAATTAGATATTCTTCATCGTTTAAATAGCAATTCATTTTCCTACTAGAGTACCTTTTCATAATTACGTCGTGACAGATCTCTGACAGAAGGCCTTTGTATTAATAATGATACTCTATTGTCACATTCAGTCATACCCACGTTGCAACTTCCAGTCCAGAAGTAAATCAGAATGAAGACTCGAGCGGATAAAATTATTTGAGTAACAGATGTAAGTGATGTTAATAGCATTGTATCAATTAAGAACTCTGTTTCAAAATTATTCTTGTCCTCTCGCTTGGTTATCGGCAGATATGACTTAAAATCCGATTAAAAAGCATTTTCTCTTCTAAGCTTATAAATCTTTCCCATCACTAAGCGTACGGCATTG